GATTACCTGTTCTGTTCATTCCCTCTGAAACACCTGGTATTGGCCACTGTGGGAATACACGATAGTGGGCTAGCTGGACCATTGGTCTGAGTCAGTCTGGTCATTCTTATGTTACTGCTGTTCAGTCTCCGTGATACCTGTGATGTCATAATCCTGCTCAGGTCTCCAGCCTTCCATGGAGTCTGGATGGAAAGACAGGGTAGATGTGACATGCTGAGCTGGGCCTGTAAGAGCAACCAGTGTTCAGCCAGAGAGGGGCTCCTGGGAGAGCAGAGTCAGTGATCGGTTAAAGAGCCGGAGACCAGGGCCTGGCCTGAGTGTAACCCACCCAACTTGGATTCCTCCCGTACCCGTAATAATTCCATTTTACTGCAGGGATAGTGAGCAGGGTCAGTCTGTTCTGACAGCAGAACTCCCACCTGTGGATAATAACACAAATCTACAAATGGGGACAGAGAGAGAGGCCGGTACCCTGAGTTGCTCCGATTTGGAGGAAAGACATCACAGTGTGGTCAAGTGAAAAAATTCTCTAAGCTCCTCGGACGAAACAAAAAATTCCTTGCGTTGCTAAGAAGACAATTTGTGGGTTAACTAAGACACCTCCTAAATCTAAACATGCTCTTAGCATTACAGCAATTCAGCCCGTATCAGTAAAAGACAAATAGTAGCCAACATACAGATTTCTTCAGTACTGTGAACAGGCTGGGATCCTTCTCCTGGCAGTGATCTGTTTGCTGTGGGTAGTCAAAGCAGGCCTGCGAACATCAGCCCCCAGGGCAGAGATCTTCACCGCCCCTGCCATACGGCTGTCTCCCTCTGGGGCTGGCGGAACAGGTTGGCACGCCCTTTTTTTTAAATTTGGGAGTGGAATTGGCCATCCGCCCTTGGCGATGCCCTACTGAGCACGTGTGACCCAAAGCAGCCCTCTAGTCACACCCTACATGCCATGGTGATCATCTTTGTATGAAATATGCCTGGCGAGGTACCATTTGAAAACTAACGACCCTCTGGTCAATAAGATCATGATGCAACATTACATAGAGAGTTACGAGTTCCCCCTGTACGACATCACTTGTGAAAACCCGACAGCCCCTCCTAGGCAAACGTTAAAGAGGTCTGTCCTAAACAAAGGAATGGGGGTTTCTATAAGCAGCAAACAGGGTCATCCAGACAGCCAGGGAAGGAGATGGTAGTGAACAGAGTAATTTACATTTCAGCAAACACAAGTGGGGGGGGGAGAAGAGCACGTGTAATGTTGACAGACAGGATCAAACCAGGGACCTCTGGAACTTAGTGCATGAGTCTCTACCGCATGAGCTAAAAGCCAACGGGCTCTTAGTTAAGGCTGTAGAGAGACTCATTTTAGCTCTCTCTCATGACGTGGTCTTGGTGCCACTAGATGGGACAGGACACCACACCCAGGAGGTGTGTGGGTTACACACGGAGCCTTCACCACCAGACTTCAGGTCGCCTTCCTCACAGCTTGGATGCACTTTGCTTTGAGGGGTCTCCTTTAGAACAGGGGCTCTCAACCTTTTCAGTCTCCTGTGCCCCTTTCAGGAGCCTGATTTGTCTTGTGTACCCCCAAGTTTCACCTCATTTAGAAACTACTTGTTTACAAAATCAGACATAAAATACAGGTGTGTCACAGCACACGCTGACTGAAAAATTGCTGACTTTCTCCTTCTGTCTGTAGGACATTTTAGTTTGTACTTAGTTCACTAGCGCTTTTTATGTAGCCTGCTGTAAAACTAGGCAAATATCTACAGGAGTTGATGTACTCCCTAGAAGACCTCTGTGTACCCCATACCCCTGGGTGACAACCACTGCTTTAGAAGAACCCACTTCCAAGACTCAACGGACTATAAAAGAAAGGGGCAGAGAACCCCACCTTCTCTCTTTCACCTAAGAAAACAAAAACACCAGCACCCCAAAGGTGTTTTTGTTTTCTTAGGTGAAAGAGAGAAGGTGGGGTTCTCTGCCCCTTTCTTTTATAGTCCGTTGAGTCTTGGAAGTGGGTTCTTCTAAAGCAGTGGTTGTCAACCAGGGGGACGG